ACTGTCTTCAGAGCTGGATTTAAAGCCACTGAAGACGGTGGTGCTAAAAGTCAGAATTAAGGTGGCCCTGGAGATGCGAGAAGTAGCCCAGGGTCCAGCAGGCTCCACGATCAAGTAAGGACACAGGTGGTGTCCAAGGACTAACTGCAAAGGTGAGCTGGGCACTTCCTGGCTGGCTCGCTCCGAGCCTTGCCCACTGCCTGCACCAATGCTGCTCCAGCTCAAGCAGCAAGCACATGCCGCGTCCACAGGCTCTGCCACCAGATCACTGCCGGCTTCCCTAAGGAATCGTCAGCAGTACAGCCCTTCCCCGAGACATGCTCAGTGGCATGGGAGCCCTGTGGGCCTTTTCAGCTCAGTGTCCTGTGGTGCTGGCGCAGGCCAGGACGGAGGCCTGACCATGGGGCTCTGGGCCTCCACAGCGACTGCACAGATCAACCTCTCTGCAGAGCTCAAGTGGGAACTGCCTCCTGTAGCCACGTGGTGTGGAGCTGGTACCCCGTCTGCTACAGTGGGGCTGGTGCCATGCAGCCCTGAGGCCTTACCTATCGCCAGGAAGAGATCGTTAACATTCATCGCTGTCTTGGCCGACGTCTCCATGAACAATAGGCTGTTGTCATCTGCGTAGGCTTGTGCCTCCTGTAACAGAGATGCAACCAAAATGAGGACAGGTCTAGAAAACATGACCCGTGAGGGACGGTTGAGAGAACAGGGTTTGTTTAATCTGAAAGAGACAGGGGTGACATGGTAACAGCTTTCAAGTACAGTAATTCCTCATTTAACACGTGCCCGCTTAACACGTTTTCGCGATAGCACGATTTTTTTTTTAGGGAATGTTTTTGGAATTACACGACCGTCCCCAGAATAACACGATTTCCCCAGCCGGCCCATTGCCGGTGGCTGTGCAGGGCTTCCCCTGCCTCCCTGAAAAGCGGCGGAGGGTTCTCCACTCACTGTGCCGTTCCCCAGCGACCCCCCCCTCGTTGCCGGATGTAGTGCAGGTCCCAGCAGACCCATCTCAGGGGCATACTCCCAACCTAATCCCCCTCACCTCTCCTTCCCCAGAGCCAGATACCTCCCGTCCCTGCAGTAACCCAGTCCCCTTTCTCCCCCAACCTTATGTCCCGGTCCCAATGGACACCACCGCTTGAAATGCAAGCCCCACCTTTTCCATTATTTTCAATGGGAAAATTGATCCTGCATAAGACGTTTTCACTTAAAATGATCATTTTCTGAAACATATCAATAGTGTTAAATGAGGAATAACTGTACCTAAAAGGGTGTTACAAGGAGGAGGAAGAAAACTTTTTCTCCTTGGCCTCTGATGACAGGACAAGCAGCAATGGGCTTAAATAGCAGCAAGGGAGGTTTAGGCTGGACATCAGGAAAAGCTTCCTCACTGTCAGGGAGTTCCATCATTGGAGATGTTTAAGAGCAGTTTAGACAGACACCTGTCAGGGATGGTCTAGATTAGTGTTTCTGAAAGCACTTTGAGAAACACAGTAACTGGCTGCCCTGGTTTTTCTACTGGCACCGCGGCCAAGGAGCCTTGTAGGTCCCATTGGCTCCATTTTGCTCTTTGTAGCCAAGCAGAGCCACAGGAAATAGCGTGGGCTGGCTCACACCGCTCCCCTCGGCTGCAAAGGATGAAATGGCACCAATGGGAGCCGCGAGGCTCTTTGCCCGCAGCGCCAGTAAATTAATAAACCGGGGCGGCCAGTTCATGTGTTTCCCAAAGTTGTTTCGCGAAGCACTGGTCTAGATGGGGCTTGGAGGTTCCTTCCAGTTCTACAAGTGTAAGTTCCACCATTCAGGGAGGTTCACACCTGGAAGGTGAGAGAAGGGTGAGCGATGGCCAAACTCACCAATGACACCCTTTCACAATCATCCAGAATCCTGTGGCCACACAAGAGGCCTAGGTCCTCTGCTATGGAGCTAAGCCAGCAGCTCCAGAGATGGACCATTAATCTCCACTGGACTGGAGACAGGACGCAGCAAACTAGTCTTAAGGAGGCACGGAGAGGTTGCAGCAGAGAGAGAGAGAGAGAGAGAGAGAGAGAGAGAGAGAGAGGACACTGCTCAGGCTTCGCAGGGGCTCAGCTGTGCTAAACAGGCCTGGCTAGCTACCCTTTGACCAGCAGGAACGTATCCTGCTGGCAAGACGGAAGCAGTGACCCATCTCGAGGCACAGGGTGGAGACACCTCTGTGCTGGTCAGAGTAGCATTTGTCCAAGAGCTGCTTGCTGGCTGACCCCTGGCCAGAGCTGACAGACTTCCCAGCTGCTGTAGCAAGATAGCAAGAGGGTTTCAAAGGCCAGGAGCAGCAGTCAGGCAGCGCTGGGGGCTGGGAAGGCTCTGCCAAGGCTATCAATGCTGGCTACTCACTTCATATTCTACCATGCGCTTGTTGGCAAGGTCGGCCTTGTTGCCCGCTAGGGCTATGACAATGTTGGGGCTCGCTTGCCGCTGCAGCTCTTTCACCCATGTCTTCGCTCGGGCAAACGTTTCCTGGAAGGAAAGGCAAGAGACAGGAGCTTCAAGTCAGTGCCTTGCCTGATGCCGTGCCCTTAGCGGTCAAGGCGGACACAGAACCCAGGCTTCCCAGATCCTTGCCCCAGCCCAGAGGGGCCAGACTGTGATATCTCTCCTGGCCGGCTGTGTCCCAGATCTCAAACTTTACTGTGGTGTCATCCAGGCAGACAGACTGTGTGAGAAACGCCGCTGTTGAGAGGAAAGGAGACAGTGGGATAGTAGCACTCGGCTCAGAGCCGTGCAGAGCGCACCCCTGCCCCGAAGAGCTGTCAATCTAAGCCGATTGACAGGCAAAGCCTGACTGTGATATCTCTCCTGGCCGGCTGTGTCCCAGATCTCAAACTTTACTGTGGTGTCATCCAGGCAGACAGACTGTGTGAGAAACGCCGCTGTTGAGAGGAAAGGAGACAGTGGGATAGTAGCACTCGGCTCAGAGCCGTGCAGAGCGCACCCCTGCCCCGAAGAGCTGTCAATCTAAGCCGATTGACAGGCAAAGCCTGGGGAGGGAGCAGTGACTCACTCAAGGGCACAAAGCCAGGTCTCTAGGACCCTAGACTCTGAGCCAGCTGCCTCTCTAGGTGTAGGTCACACAGCAGCAGGTTAATCCTTTCAAGTTGGACCTTAACATTCACCTGCTACTGCTGAAGTCCTGCTGCTGTGCACCAGCTGCATGCTTCTTGGGAGATCAAGCAGCCAACCACAACCAAGAACCAGTCCTGTGTTGGGGAGGAACTGGGGCTCGTGGCTGCATTAAGGAGTTGGACAGACAGCTTCTCCCAACCCCCCGTGCGGGGCGGGGACAGCCAGATCCAAACTGGAGCAGCGTTTGTGCTCAGGCAGGGCAATACATCTCCGTGCGGGATGCAACACAAGTCCGTGCAGGACACCATGACCTCCTTTTTCAAAAGAGACTAGCAGCACATTAAAGGGGGCTTGGTTTGCAGAAGGGTGCACTATCCTTTAGGGTTAAGTTGGGGGCCCAAAGTCCTCTGGACGGCAAGCCTTCAAGAGCCTGGTTCCATTCCCTGCAGCTCTTAGGGCCAGAGTAATGAGGGGTGGGGGTGGGGTCTCTGCATCCCCCTTCAAAAAAAGGCTTTGCCCGTGACTTTCAAACCTAACTGACCCTTGAGTCCCTCTTGCAAAGGGAGAAAAAAGGACACAGTGGGGTGGTATTTGGCCCACAGCAGAACCCACGTGTCTGGGCTCCCAGTTCCATGCACTAATCGGTGCCTATGGATTTGTATGGCACCATGAGGCACTATTGGTGTCCCCCACCAAGCTAGGGGAAGACAGGTGGAGAGAAAGCAAATGCATTAAGAAGTTTCTACACCAGCCAAGACTCAGCGTGGTAGAGGTGAGCAACCCAAGAGTCAAACCACTGCTGGGCGCTGAAGGAGTCACAAATACGTCTCCTGGGGGATTCACCCCTGTGATGACTCAGCCCTCCTCTTTTACAGGTCTCCGAGCTCTCAATGAAAAGGGGGGGGGGCTATGAAGGTTTCCACATTATGGATGGGGCAGTGGGAGGCACAGAGGGGACAGGGACTCGCATGTGGTCTGTGGCAAAGCCAGGAACAGAACTCAGGTCTCAACTCCTGCTTCAGTGCTCTAGCCACGCCGCTGCACCACCAGTTCTACGGATGTGCCACTTATGAATCCAAGAGGCATCTGGCCGTCTTGCCTCAGCCAGGATCCGAGAATTGGCTACACCACCGTCACACGCACTATGAGGTTCCTCCAGGAGCGCCAGCGAGTCACTGGGAGGCTGCAGGTAGCTCTGGAAGGAGCATGAATTCAGCAACATTTAGCCCCATGCTTTGGGCCCCTCTGAAGGCTGCCCACAGGGATAACAGGCCAGAAGTGACCAGCCCCAGGCGGCGGGTGCCCCGGTGGGGAGCAAGGGAAGCCAGGAGCTCCAGACAACCCGGGGAAGTCTATGTTTACCCGACATGCGCTCCCCCATGGTTCTTGGCGTTCACTTACCCCCAATGGTGCTCTCCTGGTACTCGTGAAACTGACCCTTGACGAAGCGCAGCACCAGACTGGACTTTCCCACCGCAGACTCGCCCAGCAGCACTAGCTTAAACTGACAGATTTTACTAGCTTGGGACTGACCATTCGGCCTGGCAGCTCCTCTGCTGGTCATGGCCTGGATTCTGGTCACACCCTGCGCCCCAGCGGATCGGAGAACCTTTGTGCCACTGACCAGCTCTTGTGAGGGGAGCAGCTGGGTTTGCAGTATCCTACTGGCTCAAGTCTCCTGAAACAGAAAAGGAGGTGAAGAATCAGCAGAGATACAATACTGCGGAGTTCACAGGGCTCCTAGCACTTTGGCCTCAGCCATCAACTCAGCTGAATGGAGCTGCTTTTCACACCACTAGTACAGAAGCAGAGAGCAGCCGGAAGAGGGGCTTATCCCCAATTTATGGGACCAGTAACTGCCTTGAATACCAGACACAGGGGCAAGTGGCACTCTGCTGATCAGCTGGGCGGCATTTGAATTTCTCCTGAGCAGCATAGTGAGGCATAGAACCCCGAAGTCTGACCTGCCCACTAGACCTACTGGGCCAGGCTCCCTTTCCTGCAAAGAGTTCTGATTCCCTGTACACCGAGGCAGAGAGGCCTTTGCTCCCCCAACCTCACTGGCAGACAAGCTTTAAAAAGTAGAAAGCTGACAAGCAGAAATCAGTCCAAGGAGGGCAAGAAAACGCTGGCTCCTTAGAGCCGAGTGGCCGGTGCACCAGAGCAAGTGAGTCAGCAATCCTAGCAGATGTCTCACTTGCATTCCTGGAGACGTAGCCAACAGCTCCTGGATAGGAGCTCACGCTGAGCCATGTGGTACCGAGGGCTGGGGCGGAAGGGCAGCACCTCTGACCTACTCCAGGAGGAAAGGAGATTCAAGAGCTCTCCGTTACACAGCAACAAGCTCAGGCCCCATTTTGCAACCTGAATACATCTGTTCAGTTTGTTGCAAGTGGCCTGAAATTCCAAATCTGCTTTTCACCTCCCCCCAGCTCTCTGAGGGCAGGACAGAGGGATGGAACTATTTCAGGGTTGCAGTTCTGAAGGGAAATTCCTAAGCAAGGGACACTTTGGTCTGTTTTTGTTTAAGTATTCTGAGATTCCCCACTCTCACGCTATCCCACACAGGGGCTATAGGCAGACCATGTTCTCTTCCCAGCCTCCCTCCTCCCATTTTAAAGCTTTGCTGCAGATCTGTGCAAGAGCCTTTTCACAGGTAAGAGTGAAAATGACAAGACCCTGGTCTCTGTCACATAGCGACTGTCCATAACCAAAGATTCCTTCCCCCACCACAGGCAGTGGGTGAAAAAAACCCAAACAATCAAACCATACGGCTGGGAGTTCTGAGGAGGAACAAATGGGGAGACAGAACGCTGACTCTACATCCGGAGTTATTCTGGTTTAACTGAACCCACTTTTTCAGATAAAACACCAGTGTCTCTCCTGAAAGCTCATACTAGCTGCATGTTTTTTTAGTCTAAGGTGCTGCAGGACCATTCACTGTTTTTAAATTGTGCCAGAGGCTGTGTGAACAGCTTATTACAGTTTAAGTGAAGTCAACTAGGAATAGGTTTAAACTAAACCTAAATAAGCCACTGATACCTGAAGCAGCCAGAGGTTTGCAATAGTTTGACAGGTACGCGTTTAGATGAGGCAGGAGAGTCTAGGTTTGTCTGTATGCAAGTCAGAGTCTAGAAAGCGAGACCTGTTTTAATTCACAGCTGTACAATCAATAATAGAAGATTCTATTTCAAGTGTTGGCCACAAAGGGTATGGGGAAGGGGGTGCTAATTGAAATGGACAGCATCTGAAATAAGCTCCCACACATCTGCGTCCATGCATCAATTTGTGAACTACAGCCTCTTGTCTTGGTTCCAGCATGCCTGTAGCCAATGCCTTCCTTCTGCCAGTAGCTGAGAGTTCAAGCCCCTACGGTTTCTCAGGATTTCAACTAGGAGCCTGCAAGAGGAGTTCCTTTGACCAGACATGAAATGCATTTTAAGAGCTCAAAACACATGCATACTAGTGATGATTTCTTACTGGAATCCCCTTAGAAAGCAATGTAGCCAAACTGTTAATTCAAATAGCTCTGTCTGCTTTGGTACGTTAGTAACCGCAAAAAACACATATCGGGAGCAATGGAAGGCAACAGCATTAAACTCCAGAGTCTGTTTATTTCACCATTTAACGGATTAGTGTTAAGTGAGGCACATCTCAACCCTTTATTTCAGTGAGTTATTACCACCACCAATGAGCCAGGGGGGATTTAGCAAAACGTGTGGTTTGCCTACTGGCTGCTGGGATTTGAAGGATGAACTCTTCAAAGCCCATTTCTGGGTTCCACAGTCAGCACCGGTGACCGCTGAGCTGAGTTTCCCAAAGTACAGACAATTGGGCTGGTGGCTTTAGATCTTGACATTTCCCATTCCCCACATGCTTTGATACAAGCAGAGTAAAGGGCAAAAGATAGCAGAAAATGCTAAGTGTAACCACAGCATTGTGTACAAACCAAATGCTGGGCAGCCCCATACCTCCCAGTTCCATGAAGGTCACCATTTCATGTTTTCTAAAGCAAGAATCCAAGAACAACAGGAAAAGGTTTCAAAGCCCATGATGGCCAAAGCTGCCTGGTAGCAACCCAAGTACTGCGCATTCGGGTTTCCTGGAGCTGAGTTGGCTAAAGACAGGGAAATGCTTCCTTCCACCTTGATGACTTCGTTAACTATGTGAGGGGGAAATGATTAAGCAGTGACCTCATCCATATCCGATGGGAGTTTCTGAGGGAGAGTCCTGCCTGATTCTGGAGAAGCAGCAGTGATTCTGGAAAAACCCAGGCTGCATGGATGCAGGGTTAGAGCTTCAACTGGGCGAGGTCCAGGTTGGGTATTCAGAAAAACTATTTCACTAGGAGAGTGGCGAATCACTGAAATGGGTTACCTAGGGAAGTAGCAGAGTCTCCATCCCTAGAGATTTTTAAGTCTCGGCTTGACAAAGCCCTTACTGGGTTGATTTAGTTGGGATCAGGCCTGCCTAGGGCAGGAGGTTAGACTCTATGACCTTCTGAGATCTCTTCCAGCTCTATGATTCTATGATTCATATAAGGACAAAGATTTAGACAGAGGGTGAAATATTAGTGAGTAGCAACTACAGTTGGGGCCAGATTTGAAAGTCCTCAGTGCCTCCTCCCACGATGAGCCAATCTCCTTTGGATGTCTAGCCTGCGGTAGCCACAGAATACTGGGCTTCTCCAACTGAAGACACTCCCATTACTTATCCCAAAGGGTGTATTGAGGGTCACCCCGTCATCTCAACCTGCCAATCGCTAGTTAGTTACCGTGACCGGTACTGTGTCTGCTGGCTTAAGCAAGTCCCAAGAGGCTAAACATGAAGGAAACTTCAGAGAAAGAGGGAGTATTTGACAACAGGACCACCTCACTGTAAAACCCATCACCACAGATCTTTAGAGGGGACCTACAAAGGGTGGTTTGTTTGTTTTTTTTTTTTAAATGATTTCTCCGGCTATGTCTAGACTGCAGGCTTCTTTCAGAAGAAGCTTTTCCGGAAGAGAACTTCCGAAAAAGAGCATCTACACTGCCAAAGCACATTGAAAAAGCGATTTGCTTTTTCAAAAGATAGCGTCCACACTGAACAGATGCTCTCTCACATTTAAGCTGTGATTACTATGGGCCCCTAGGGCACCTGTGCTTTTTCCCCCCTCTTCTTGTGAAAAAAACTCCCTTTTCCCCATCCACACACGCCTTTTTCTGAAAGAGCTCTTCTGGAAAAAGACTTCTTCCTCGTAGAAAGAGATTTACCAACGTCGGAAACCCCCCCTCTGTTCTTTCGATTTTCTTTCAAAAGAACGCGACTGCAGTGTGAATACAAGTGAAGTTCTGTTTTTCCAGAAAAAAACAACCCTGTAGTGTAGACATACCCTCCTTTGAAGGCTCCACAGAAATCAGGAATGTCTCCGGCTTTCCCTCTATGCTGGAGGTCTAAGCTGCAGTGCCCCAGTTGTTCCATCTTAATAAATGATTCTCTCCTCCCCCTGAGACTGTGCAGTAAGTGAAACACGGATGCTGTGACCATTCCAACAAAAAATCCCTTCTCCTCAATTGCTGCAACTTTTCACTTCCTTGTGAGGCTCTGAATTCATTAGTTCCCCAAAGCACCAGAGCTTTCCCGGAGAGGTGGCTAGGAGAGCCTAATCTAGGGACACTTTTCAGCTCCTAAGTTTATCTGAGCTTGTTTCAGCATCTTTGTGCTTAAGTGCCTACTAAATTGGTACCAGATAAAAGTTGTCCTCTCTCAACCACAGGGCCTTCCAGCCCCAGGCTCTCAAAGCCCTTCACCAGCTTATCTGAATGAAGCCTCCAAATACCCCATGAGTAGCATCTCCATTTCAGAGAGGAGGAAGGGAAAGCTCAGACATGAAGTGGCTTTGCCCTGGTCATAAAGCGAGTCTGGCAGAGCTGCAGACAGTCTGACAGCCCTGCATGTCATGCACAAGAACATTCAATCTGCACAATAGCACCTAACAGCTTCTTCGGGTTTTTTCTGTTACTCGGGTTTCCCTCCCACAAGACAACCTTCTTCAAAGCCTTTTGAAGTGAGGTGTGCACACACCTCACAAGAGCAGACAAACCAACACAGGCCATGAAGGCACCCAGTACTACTAGTGCCCAGAGACCACTGCTTGGCATGGGGATGGGAAGCCAAGAGCTATATCCACTCTTCAGACTATAAACTCCTTGGCACAGGGACGGTCTACTCCACTCCGCGGAGTGCCTAACAAGGAGGCCCTGTCCTTGGATGGTCCCTAGCCACTGCTGTAATAAGCACTATTAATACAATCCCAGGATAGATCCAAGAAGTCACCTCCCATCCAATCATAGGAATTCATTCAACTTCCCACTTGTATTTGCTAAATAGAAGCTTCCACCAATAGCAAGAATTAATTTCTTTGAATTGGAACCCTCCTCTGAAGCAAGGGGCTCCTATAGAGGATACAGACGCCTTTATTTAAAAGGCTACGAGGCATTTAGACCCTCCCTTGCCCCCTCCACTTACTGGCATGAGGTATCAGATCCCTGACAGGACAAAGCCCGTAGGTACATTGGCTCTTCAGTCTCCCAGTAAGTCAGTATAACCTCCCGTAGTTTCCTTTGGAGACTTTCAGAGTAATTTTATACCTGCATGGCTGATATTTAGCCTCTGTTAGAATTACAATCTCTGTTAGGAAAGGTACTTGCCGATCAAAGCAAAATGTTTTCAGTAAGCAACTAACAGCCACTGAGCATGAGTCTAAGTGTGGCTTTGATGACCCCCTAGGAATCCCACTTTACTCTGTGTCAGTCACTGACACATCAAAATCCCTCGCTTGCACAAGTTACAATAAAGGTGTCCTAACAGCAGGCAGCGCAGTGTCTGCCTGGCAGCAGACAAGTCAAGCTGTGCTTTGTCTCCACTGCCAATATTAAAGATTCACGAGCCAGTTTCGCGGACCATTTTACCACCACGAGAAGGGGAGCAGGGTTCTTCGACTGGCTGACACCCTGGGCAAGTTCAACTGCTTTTTGGATGGCACAGAGAAAGAATTGGGAAGGAGAGCAACAGAGCCCAGTCCTTGCAAACTCCTTGGCCCTGCTGACAGCACTGAAAGGAGGAACATGCAGCATACGGAGCTAGCTGGACATCTTCCCTTGGATCGTATCGTTCTTTCACTGCACTGACTTCAGTGGGGTCACGGCAGGGATTAACGTGATCCATTGCAGTTCAGTCTTTAGGAGGTTTGAGAGCAGCACTTTGTTTGAGGGAGGTCCTGTTCGGGAGATACTCCCAGGAGGAGTTGCAACAGCCTGTCTGGGTTAACTGCTTTCCTGTTGCCAGCGTTACTTTTCCTATGTCCTAATCACATACAGCATAAGCCACTGCCATCAAATCTGCATGCATGGGGTTAAGTCTGCCATCAGCCCTCTCTTCCCAGCCCTGTGTTATTATCAAGCCAGACAGCAAAGAGCAAGCGAGGTTTTAGAGCTGTTGCAAAACTGGATTCTATCCCGACACGGCAGCGTGCAGGCGTTCCAGATACGAGCCCAGCACAGTCCTTAGTAGTGCCTTCTGCCCATGCAGGATCAGGTTCCTCGCAGGAATGAGAAGATAGAGCAGGGAGCACGGCTTGACTCAGAGATGTTCCTGAAGAGCCCAGGTGACACACAGTGAGGTGTAGGATAACAGAAACACAGCCCCCATCCGTTTATTGGTAAGGCTGCAACAGATCTGCCATTTTACCCCATCCAGGTACGAGGCTGCTCAATAGGTTTGGGCCTATTTGTGGTTCAGACAAGCCAGGTTTACCTCCACAGCTAGTCTTCAAAGCACTTTCTTGTGGAGGCTGAGGATAAGCTAGTGAGTAAAGAGGCAGGCATCCTCCCCCCGGTGTACAGGTGAGAACTAAGACCAAGAACCACTTGCAAGAGGTGATGGGTTGGAAGGTCTTGTCTACATGGGGTTTGAAGCGAAGGCCACCATTCCTAGGTCCCAGTTCTCACCTCAGCTCCTTCCTCTGCATGTATCCTGGATTGAAACGAAGCGCTGCCAAGCCTCCTCTACCATGCTGGGTTCCAATTACAGTCACCAAACAGAGCTTTAAGAGTCACCGCTGGGATAATTAGCACATTTGTCTCAAGAGAATTTCCCATGTGAAGTCATTCCACACCACTGCTCATTAAATAGGTAATTCACATTGACTCACAGTACTGATATCCGGTGGATCAAGGGCCACCAGTCTTCTTTCTACTAGACGGGTTAGGATCAAAACTTGGGCAGCCACAGAGCTAGGGTCCAGCCCCTCTTGCTCCCACACACAGGTCCATTTCTGTGGGAGGCTGGGGGAGGAGAATCTCCCTTAGCTGTGCAAGGCCTATCCAACCCAGATGAGCAGTAGAAGGCAGTGATACAGAGATGGAATTCACCAGTACAATATAACAATTGCTTTCAGTGGGCATTGGGTGATGTAGCGCTCTAGGGAAGGGTCAAGCAGAACTTTGCAAAGCTGAATAAAACTTCTCATCCCAGGGCAAGCATTAGCTCTGCAGTCACCACAGTTGAGTGTTTGGAGCATGGGTTCCCAAACTGGGGGGCCTGAAGAAATTCCAGGGGGGGCACGAGGCAACCCAGCCACACACCCCAAGTTTTGCTGCTTTTTTTGGGGGGGCGCATGAGGGTTTCTTAAAAATCAAAAAGGGGGCGTGATGCCGAAAAGTTTGGGAACCACTGGTTTGGAGAGTAAGTTTTCATGCCAACCCTAAAAGGCCAGGCCTGCTGAAAGGAGAGTGGGGAGTAAAGGGGGCAACTGCCTCAGGGCCTGGCGATTCAAAACGGTCCGGAGCTCCCCACCACTGTTCTTTCAAAAGGGCCCCACTTTTGAATCACCACTGGAGCCCCAACATGGCGCAGACCGAGT